TGGATGCTGGAAGCATCTCATTTAGTTCTCAGACAAGGTCAGCAATACTTCTCCATTTTCCTAATGAAAAAAATAAGCTCAGAGAAGTTAGGTGTATTCATTTGTCCGACCTGCCTCATATGTGCCAAATATTTTACTGAGCACTGAGAATGCAATGCTGAGCAAAACAAACATGGCCTCTGCCCTCATGGAGCTTAGAGCCCAGTGGGAGGGGGAATTAGTCATAGAATGCTACAAAAAAATACCACAAAGGAGAGGTTGTAGTGCTCTGAGAACAGATAAAAGGGAAAAGTGACTCGTCGGGGATGTCAAGGAAAGTCCTCCCTTTGGAGGTGATGACTAAGCTGAAGTCTGAAAAATTAAAATAAAAATGATGTAACTAAGTCAAAATGAGGGGGTACAAGGATAAGTGTGCCAAATAGAGGGAACATCAGGTGCAAAGGCATTCCGGTGGTACATACATGATGCACTCAAGGTACCAAGAGGTGACAGTGGCCTGCACTATGGTGGCGACAGAGATGGAGAGCAGTGGTGCTGCCCACAGCCACACGGCTGAGGTTCAAACCCAGGCCTGTCTGACTCCAAAGCCTGTGTTCCTCTCTGCCTGGCCATTTATTCATTCATTCAGCAATTAGTTGCTAATCATCTACTAAGTGCCAGGCCTGTACCAGGTGCTGAGGACACAGCCATGAATAAAACAGACGCTGCTCTCAGGGAATTTACAGTCAAGACATTAAACAAATAAGAATACACATAGATGTACACAGTTACAAACTGGGAGGAGTACCATGAAGCAACAATAGTGTGATCCGAGACTTTAACAAGGACAGTCACCTGTAAGGCCACGAAGCACTTCCAAACTTGATAATATACAAGAGCCACTTGCCGGCTGCATGTAAGTGAAAGGCCTTAGGAAACTGCCTGTCAGAGCTGGGATGGAGCATCACATCCCTGGCCAGCTCAGGAGCCCTCAGGGGAGAAGCGGGAATCTCCAGCTCTGCACAGACTTTGTTAAAACAGAAGTCTTTCTAACTGCTAACTCCTCAATATACTCACGTATCCCAACCTCAGGCACCCCTCACTTATGTATGTACACAGCATTTTACAATTAGCTGAGATTTCACAAAGATTCATTCATTTGAACCTCACGGCAGCCCTACGTAGAATGCTGACAAGTTTGAATATCCTGCCTGCAAGATGAGGAAATTGAAGCCTAGACAGGTGAAGTGCTTTAACCAAAGTCACCAAACTAGGAAGGCAGCCAGATCTGCCATCCAGCTCTCTCTAGCAGCACCTCGGGCCAGGAAATCATGAATCTCAGATAAGACGGCTGCAGGTCACTGAGCCTGGGTAAGGTCACCCAGGAGTCCCATGAAGTTCCTGAGAACAATGATCGGGGACATCAAGCAGCCTGGGGAAGGTTTCTAGAATGCAGCTCCAGCTTGAGACACAGGTACCCTTGCCAACTTTCCCAGATTAGAACAGGTTCGCTTGGATTCTTTCCAAGTGCCTCTGACTAACAGAGAAAAGTATTTTTCCATCGCAAACACTGCAGGCGGGCACCAGACTCCTGAAGCGGGAGGGCAGAGACTGCACCCATATTCCTGCAGAGACAAACTGTAAAGTTAGCCTGATGCTATGTGAACCGCCTAGCTAGGTGCCTACCCCTGGGTATGCTAGGCTTAGCCAGCATTTCTCAGTCGTGGCTCAACTAACATCTGGGGTCGGGCATTTCTTTGTTGCAGGGTGCTGCCCTTGCACTGTCAGATGCTTAGCAGCATCCCCGGCCTCTATCAACTGGATGCCAGTGGCACCCCTAGTTGTGACAACCAAATACGTCTTGAGACATTGCAAATGTCCGCTGGGATGCCAAATCACCCGAGATGGAGGATCACTGGCCTAGGGCCTATGGAGAAGGGGAGACCCAGAGTCCACTCCCTTTCTCTCATCCTAACCCATCTACCCAATCCCATCTTACTGGAGAGATATATGGTCACTGTGCGTAAACTCTTTTTTAATCAATATCACACATAATTAATGCCTTCCCGAAGGAGACTGGGAGCAGCCTCTGTGCCAACGTGGTCTGCAGGAGGGTCCTAGGAACAATTCACCACTGGAGCTTGTGAAAACAACTAAAGTCAAACAACCCTTTGTTCCACTAATGAGCTGCTTCTGACCCTGTGAGCAAATCTTGTTCCCGTGAATATGAGCGGCAGAGTCTGATTAAACTGGAAGCCCTGGGTGTTTCTTCTCAATGACACTGGGCCCAGATGGAGCGCAACACTGGTAGATTAAATAGCAGCAGACTCCCATTTACCCGAAATCCAGCACAACCACCCGGGCACACAAACATCCCAGCTCCTAACCACTCTGGACTTAGGAGGAAGGCGAAAGTGACAAAGTACATAAACAAACGATCTGAACTAACAGGTTAATTAAACAGCTGAAACATCACCAAAAAATCACGCTCTCAAGTGGAGGTGGAGACCTGAAGCTGAGCTCCGGAGCAGCTGGGGTGACTCAGACAGTGGCACATGCGTGGGTTCCAACCTCCCACCCCAGGGGACGGGCTGCTGGCCCCGAAGTGGAAACCAGCATCAGTTACAGCGCTTCAAGGCTGGAACCAAAGAAGCGGCATCTTCATGTCTTTCATTAGTCAGCTACCTAACTAGTTAAAGGGTTTACTGACAGACTCAACCAAACTCACTACCACTTGGTAGTAAGTGTATTTCACTGCACTGCAGTTCTTTGAAGACTGACTAACCACAAGACGCCCACCTGTTAACACCCAGTTACTCATATGACTGCTAGTTTCCATGCTACTTCTGCAGGCTGCACTTAGCGCTATAGCTGCCTGTCTCATACAGCATTGTACTGAAATTTCATAACAGATCTGTCTCCCCGAATGGACAGTGGGCTCCCTGAGGGCAGGGTTTATATCTAGTACAAGGCATGGTACGTAAAACAGATCCTCACCATCTGTATGATGGGTGGATAGACAGATGGATGGTAAAGTTTTCCATCTCTATATCCTTAGACTTAAGCCTGTCAACACATTTTAGTGGGAGGGCATGGCCTATGTCTTCTCTCCTGTTTCTCTAAGGCTTATAAGGACATTGCTTAATAGGTTCCAATTAAACAATGACTGATTTGCTTGGACTCTTGAACCCAAAGAGACAAACTGAGGCCTTCTGTTCATAAATCAGTGAGGCCAAGGAAAGAGGTCAGAAATCCCAGCTGTCTACCCTGCTGCACAAGCACTTGAATGTGTTTTGTTCCTTTTGACTAGATACAGTTTGATGTGAGAACTGAACACATTCTCTCCTAGGCAGCGAAGATACAGACATGAGCAAGACTAATAGGGCGCCTTCCCTAGAGCTCATTGTCTGGAGGAAAAGGCAGATATTATTAACAATTATACAAATAAGCAGCTATTATGTTCAGTGAGTCTTTTTAAGAAAAATGTCTGTAGCTGTTGCCAATCTTTAAGCAGTCTGAATCTTTCTGAGGAGAGTCATGATTTTTCCTCCAAATAAATAACACGCTTTCCTTAAAGCATCCTCTGACATTTATTATACAGAAAGTTTATTATACTCCTTGGTCATATAGGCCTCTGCTCCAAAATGACTGTAATTTTTTTAAAAGACTAATTAAAAGCATCACAGTTACGAATACTCATAAGTCTATGTCTGTGTGTTCCAACGTGTAGTATGTGTGACTTAACCAAGGAAAACTGAAGCTGGCTTGAAAACCTACAAAAGTCAGTACTAGAATAAGTCACCAGATATTTGGAGCCTAGAGAGCCACACATAGCTAATAAGCAGGCCAGGGGACTCCTGAGAACCCCTAAAGTCAGAAGGCCTTGACATGATAATAGATCTTAAGAATTACAAACTACCCACCTGGGAAGCTCTGTGTAAGTCAGCAGAAACTCTAGGAAGGCAGGGAAGAGGAATGGCCACGAACACAAACCCCGAAAACACAGTCAGGAATATGAAGACCAGGAAAGAACTGCCCTAAGGGCAGGGTGAGAAATAAATGAAGACTCAAAGAGAAGATAAAAATGCCAAAAGCTGGATGGCATGGCATGAGAAGATAACACCTGAGGGAACATATGGATGTCTGAATTAATGCACATAGTTTATTAGGGTTAATAAAAATTTAAATAAAAGTGCCATGCTAGCTATGATTCAAATTAATGCTCCTGCCTCAATCATGAAATACAATGGTTGGCAAAAGTAGATTTACAGCCTGGCCAGCATGGCTCAGTGGCTGAGCATTGACCTAGGATCCAGGAGGTCGCAGCTCAATTCCTGGTCAGGGCACATGCCATGGTTGTGGGCACGATCCCCAGTAGGAGACATGCAGGAAGCAACTGATCAATGCCTCTCTCATCATTGATGTTTCTGTCTCTCTGTCTCTCCCTCTCCCTTCCTCTCTCTGAAATCAATAAAGGCATATTTAAGAAAGAAAAAAAAGTGCGTTTACAGGTCTGAGTATGCAAAAGAGTTTATTCTTGTATTGTTATTTATTTATTTATTATTGTATTTTTCTATAAGAACAACTGTAAACCTACTTGTACCCACCCCAGTATTTATCTTTAAGTTCACAGGTACTGCGGCCTTTAATTTAGACTCAGGTGGAAATGCAAATAGAGTCATCTCTTCAGGCATGACAAGGCATACTCCCCAACAACCCGGGCAAATTTCTGGGCGATGCTTGCTGCAATGGGTTCCTTCTCAAAACCTCACGGACTCTCAGGGCCAGAAGGCAATAATCTAAGCCAGCCTTGCCTTTGCAGGTGCAAACCTGTGATCCAGAAAGGAAAAGCCACATATCTGGCTGACTGCAGAACCAGATCCCAGGTCCTCCCCTGCCCAGTCCTAAAAGCTTTTCATCAGTAAAAACCAACCAACTTATTTCTAAGCATTCAAAGCTGTTTAGACAGCTGTCCACCCCAGCTGCTCTTACCGACCACAAATTCTCTGCTGCTCTCTTACCTGTCTGAGCAACCAGGTGTGTCCACCCACTCCAGACAGCAGTAACCTTTTCTTTCTGAAAACAATGTGCTTCTATTTTCTGGGGCATAGGAAGGAAAGCAGCCTGGGAAGCCAGTTGCCCGTGCTTGTTGCTTCCCCAAACATACAGCTCTCCTGCATCTTAAACAAGCAGAAGGGGAACAAAAGAGGTAAAGGAACATTAGTCCCAAATGATGGAAAAGAACACAAGTCTGAAAAAAAAGTGGTTAAAAGAAGTATTATTTTTATGCTACAATGTTGCACAGAGCAAAGCAAGATACAAAATTTATATACAGCATAATATAAAAAAATTTTTAATTCTATAAACAGGAAATGAGGCCAAATACTCATAGTAGTTTGTCAAGGAATAGAAATTTTCCCATTAATTCATTCAACAAATATTTATTCAACCTCTACCATGTGAAAGATATGTTTCTCTATATTCTATAGCTTTAAAAATATATGCCCTGCATTACCTTTTATTAGGAAAAAATACATTAACCTTTTTAAATAACTTATTAAAATTATGATTTAAGCTTAAACTTTTGTTTTGTTTTAATTTTTATTTTTTTCAATTACAGTTGACATTCCATGTTTATCAGTTTCAGGTGTACAGCCTAGTGGTTACACATTTATACAACTTACTAAGTGATTCCCCCAATAAGTCTAGTGCCCACCGGGCACCATACAGTTATTACAATATTATTGACTATATTCCCTATGGTGTACTTTACATCCCGGTGACTGTTTTTGTAACTACCAATTTGTGCTTCTTAATCCCTTCACCTTTTTCACCCAGCCTCCAACTCCTCTCCCATCTGGGGCAACATCAGTTTGTTCTCTGCATCTGTGAGTCTGTTTCTGTTTCGTTTGTTTTTTAGATTCCACATATAAGTCAAGTCACATGGTATTCGTCTTTGTCTGACTTATTTTACTTTTTAAGCTGAAACTTTTTAAACATAAGATTTCACTACACGCCCTGCCCAGCAGACAACAGAATGCTACCACATCTTGTCTGTGTAGCACTTCGGCTCACTTGAACCTCACAATAATCCTGTGATATAAGCAAGAATACAACTGACTGACATTGTGATTTAATAGAGAAAGAGCACATTCAGAGTCAAGTGACTGGCTTCTATTCTTGGATCTGCTAACTAGCTATTGACCTTGGACAATCACCTCCTCTCTAAGCCTTAGTTTCACCAGCTTAACATTGGAGGTTAGTCTAGAAGGACAAACAGCATAACTGAAGACACCAGCAACAAGACAGACTGGTGGGAAACTGTGGCAAACCAGAAAAAAATTTAACTGGAAGTCAAACAAAATGGGGCCCTGGGCTACAATTGGGCCATGAATCTACAATTTATGATTCCTTCGGTGATTTCTAAGGGCTTTTCCAACCCTAATGTTCTAAGGTTCTATAAGGTTCTTCACATGTGGCTACGGAGCACTTGAAACATGGCTAATCCACATTGAAATGTGTTGTAAGACAAAAAAGCACAATGAATTGCAAAGACTTACTGCAAAAAATATAAAAGTATAGCTCATTAATAATTTTCATATTGATTACACATTGAAATAATGTTTTAGATATGTGGGGTTAAGTAAAATATACTATTAAAATTATTTCACATGTGTCTTTTTACTTTTCGAAAGGTGGCTCGTATTATATTTCTACTAGACAGCACACTTCTAGAAGATAAATGAATCAAGGCTGGGAGATGTTAAATGACTTTCAAGATCACATGGCTAATAAGGAGTCAAGCAGGGTAAGAAGCCAGGTCTTCTGCTTCCACTGTATTTTGTGACCTTCCAGAGAAATGTTACAGTACTGCTTGCCCTGATATAGTCTCAAAAACTGATCAAAAGCTAAACAGTACCAATAAAGGGCATTAGACCAAGATTCAGGGTTCAATCTCAGATCTGCTGCTCTATCACTCTGACATTGGGCACTTCACTTCACAACCTGGGCCTCTGTTTCATCAAGTCTAAAATGAGAGAGTGTAAATAGGTCGGACTTTTTTGTAACCCAGGTGACTGTGCAGCACTGACACTGTGAAGTTCTATAGTAGATTTTATGTAGCCTCCCTGGACTTCACCAGGGTGTGCAAAGTATGAGGATCCTTCACAAGAAGGCAGAGGAGACCCTCGCAAAGTCTCAAGCTATTAAGTGGCCTGGTTCACTGACCATGAGCCAGTGTAATAAGCTTCTATTCATCTTAGTAAATCTAAACCATCTTTTTGCAAACACAGACTGCCTTCCACATGCCCATCATCACACTGTTGCAAAATTAAATTTTGCTGCAATGCCAAATAGTTACATAATCTACAACCCAAAACAAAAGGTCTGAAAAGCACTGAACAAGACCCAATGTGTTAACAGCTTGAACTAGACCAGGAAAGAGGGATATTAATCTTGACAACTTTTTTTTAATTTTTATTTATTGATTAATTTTTTTAGAGGGAGAGAAAGAGAGAAGTATCATTTGTTGCTCCACTTGTTTATGCATTCACTGGTTGATTCTAGTTATGTGCCCTGACTAGGTATCAAACCTGCAAACCCTGGCTCACTGGGAGGGCGCTCCAACCAACTGAACTACCCGGCCAGGGCATAATCTTGACAACTTTTAACTGACATTAAACATATCCAAAAACAATTCAGGCCCAGCCAGCATGGCTCAGCTGTTGAGCATCGACCTATGATCCAGTAGATCAAGGTTCAATTCCCTGTCTGGGCACATGCCCAGGTTTCAAGCTCAATCCCCAGTAGGGGGCATGCAGGAGACAGCTGATCAATGACTCATCATTGATGTTTCTATCTCTCTCCCTTCCTCTCTCTGAAATCAGGAAAGATATTTTGAAAAATCACTTTGTGAATATACTAAAAATCACCAGATTATACAATTTTAAAGGGTGTATTTTATATATGAATTACATGTCAATAAAATAAAAATTCAACATCTGTTTTAGAAACACCAAAATAAAAGTGTTCCACATATGAAATAAGTAACTTCACTAATTACATGATTTTTGAAGAAACTGATATTAGCAAGCAATTAGAGAATCTCTTGGTTTATATAATGCCAGCCACTTCAAATTAATTAGAACAGAGTAGAAACATCTCTTAGCCTACTCTTGTTCTCAGAAAAGAATGCCTTCCCCAACCTCATTGACTGTGGGGCTTCCAGTTCCTCTATGAGGCATTCATTTCAATTCAACTCTTCCAACATATATGTATAAATCTACCTAATATGAGACATAGGCTAAAAGTAAGCATTTCTTTTGTTGGCTGTTAAAATTCATTAAAGAACACCCTACATGTAGTTCAGAGTTTGTAAAGTATTTAAGCTCATTATGTCTCTGAACTCTGGAAACGATAACAGCTTCTCAGTGGATCTGCACTGCAAATCTGATGTTGAAGAAATTAACATGAATTAATTTACATATACTATGTACACACTTTAATTTCCACATAAAACACCATGCATGAAAGTCATTTCCCTTTTCTTAAAAATGTAATGCATTTAACTCTGTGTGAGAGGTCTTAACCAAAATTAATTTCTCAGAGCCATAGTCTCCAGTCTACCAGCAGGGGGCAGGGCAATCTGGACTTTGAAAGAGAGAACCTTTGGAAGAGATAACCTTCACTCTCAAGAAAATGCTACACTGTCACTAGAAAGTTTATACTGTATTGGCTGGGTGTGTCAAATGGATGGATGGATGCATAGCTAAACAGATATAGTGTGAGAGAGAAAAAAGATAAAATATCAATAAAAATAGAGATATATAGTTAAATAAAATAGAGTAAATACAGAAAGAGCAAACAAGGAGATAAATGGGTTAGAAAGGTTAGTTTGAGATTAAACAGAGGGAATAGATAGAGAGCTTAGATAGTTACATTAGACACTTAAATAGATTAGATGGATAAGATAACAATATGTCACATATAAATTTACTGTTGGTTATATGATTTGACAATCACAATTACCCTAAGAGGAAGGCATCCTTATCCCTAGCGTACAATTAAGAAAACAAAATCAGAGAAAAGGAAGTGAGGCCATAAGAGTGTTTTACCAGTATTGTCATATTTAGTTCTCAGAACTACCCACGAAGTATTTTACAGACAAGGAAATGGTCTCAGTAGGGTAACTTGCCTAAGATCACACAAGTGGTGACATCAGAATTCTGACTCCAAAGTCTATGCTCTTCCCTCTGTACCCCAAAATCACCACTTGAGAAAAAAGCATACAGAATTGTGAATGGGGATATCTGTAATACCCCCAACAATAAAAATAAATTTAAAAAATACAACTGAAAGAGCTGTTACCTACCTGTCAATGAAGCCGAGTGATCTGAGCCAGCAACAACACATACTGCTTTAGAATTCTCTAGGCCTACAAAAAAAAAAAAAAAAAATTCTTTTGAAATTACATTTAAAACAGAACAAACTGGGCAGAGAAGGGGCTCAGGTAGCACTGGGAGAACCTCTCAGCCAGTACAGGCAGGTCTGAGTCAGCAGGTCTGGGTTGGCAGCACTGGCCAAGAAGATGGCTAACATGGTAAGGAAACTGGTTACCTACCAGGGGATTGAACAAACAAATAGATATACTGAGGATAAAGGAGCCAGATTTCTCACCATCAGAGAAGAGAGGAAAGATCCAAGAAAAGGTGGAAGGCTAGCATCGACCAGGTGGTACTGGCTTGCAATTGTAGAGACCAGTGTAGGCTCATGGTTTCCAATGGAAACAGATAAAGATATAGGTGTACATATGTGTAAATACATCTATTTCTGAGCTCTGTCCACTGAGGGAGCCTAGAAAAATGACATCTCATACATTCAGCTGCCATCCACATGCAGGCACTAAAATACACACCTAGGCTTCCTGTCACACAGGCAGAACTAGAATTTGGCCTGCCTTCCATCTCCAAACCCAACACTTTCCTCCCTTAATTTACTGACAAGGTATAACTCCAATCGACTCTGCTAGACGTTGTGGTCACCTGGTCTAGAGAATTCAGTCATTCTGTTAACTCTTTTTTCTGACACTTCTGCTTAATAGACTAGTGTCTTAATAAAAGGTCCCTGGACCTTAAAATATCCTGTGGGATAAGAAAGACAACACGGATGTTTCTGCCACATTCACCAGAGAGGAAGCCCTGGGCCCGAGCGGTCAGGTGAGGAGGGACATCCAGGGTCCCGGCTCCAGAACCAATGGCTATGAGGTAAGATGGGAGAATGAAAAATGAAAGACTTTGAGGGCAGGAAGTTGATGATGTCATCAGAAAACCCCCAATTCAACTCTGAATCTAAGCTGTGCCCTGAGCAGATCTCAAACAAGTCATTTAAATCAAATCAAATAAAAACATTTCTAATTCCTTCTGGTTACAGTTCTGTGCTAAAATAGAGAGCAGACACAGTTCCTGCCCTTAAAAAACTCAGAATCTTTGGTGTGTGGGAAAACATATGAACAACTCATAATAATACAATATACTGTGCTATCCACATGAGAAAATGCAACAGAGGTGAGAAGAGGGGAGAGCACTTACTGAGAAAGCTGGACCTGAGCAAGGCCTTTAGAGATTATCAGGGTTTTCCTAGGGGAACAGGAAGGAAAGGCAGAGGTAACAGTTTGCCACAGGCACAGAGGAATGAGAGAACAGGACACACCAGGGGAGCAGTGAATACCTTAGTGAGGCAGAAAAAATGTTTGGGAAGTTTGGGTTCCTGTTTGAATGTTTTCGATGTCACAGGAAATGGACTGCCTGTCCAGCATCCAGTGCCCCTTCTCCCCTAGGAGCACCCTCCCCAACTCAACCCATGGGCTTCAGGGTGGCTAACTTCACCCCAGAGGAAGGGGAGGGCCTGCAGGACTTGGGAAAATCAGAATGATCCCAGTATCTTGTACATTGCTCCCACTGTGGCGGACCCTTCCCTTTTCCTTCCCCCCTTCCTCCCACCCTCAAAAATCTCTCCTTTGTTCTGAGCTAGAGGAGACTGGTTAGAGGTTTCCTATCAAGGTGTCATTGCAGCCGACCATCAGTAGGCTGGGTCACAAAGCAAGAAAGCGGGAGAGGAAGAGAGGAAGGAGACATGGAGACTCGGTGCTACATACAGAAAGACCCACAAAGTGAGTGTAGAGCAGAGAGGGGGTGGGGGAGAGAAAGAATGAAAATGAGTCCCAGCACGAAAGAGAGAAAGAGAGAAAGCCCTACTGACAACTGACCAACAAAACGCTGACCAACAGGCCTGTGGGCAGAACACTTACTGACTACTCCTCGTGTGCCCACATAGAGACTTCCCTGCAAGGACACTCCTGGCCTCCCTCTCTACACACTCACTCACTCCTGCTTTCCCTTGGGAGAAGGAATTGGGCAAGTGAGGCACAGGCTTCTGGGTTCTCCCCTTGGGGTGTGCCTGCCTGTAGAGAAGGTGCCTCCTCGTGTGTTCTCAGCTGTACAGTCAGCTTAGCGGGCCCCACTCTACGCAGCTGCTCTAGTGCCTAGAAGGAAAATACAATCTGGGACTCAGAATTTAGAGGTTTACTACTGCTACATCTTATTCCCAAACACCTAAGTCATGTCTTCCAACCTAGCTTTGAACAGTTCTAGAGCTACCATTTTGACCTACACATACCTGACATGCATCTACCTCTCAATGGGTTCCAAACTATAGCAGCGAAGACAGATGCTTTTACTGGGCCCACAAAAATCCCAACAAGACTAAAAGACCAACCAATAGAGAGAGTTAAGACACAGAGATCAAGAAATAGCAAAAGCAAAACTCCATTCACCCCTTTTCTGCATGCCTGTGTCTCCACTTCTTGACAAAGAATCAATATAGGTCTCAGAAGAAATAAGGGCCTTACCTGTCACCCTGCTAGGTTCCTTTGCTGTCAAAAACAGTGGGAGAGTCTGCCCAGGGCACAACCGCCGTCCAGATGATGCCAAACCAGCTCCCCACTGGAACACAATGCCACTTGCTTCCCAATTGAGCAGAAGAAAAAAACACACACACTTATTTGGATAAGACCAGATTGCTCTTTGAACCTCACTGCTATGGGAGATTCCCAATTCATTCTCAGTTAACACATGTATTATGGAGAAGCTTATTGCTTCACAGGCCTTATGACTGGACACAGGGATTACCCCCAAATCAATCACAAGTCCAATCTTCAAAGCAATCTAAGACCATCAAAGAAAATTCCAACTTAGTAAAACTCCCTCCAAAAAGTTCTAGGACACTCCTCCAGGGTCAAATTACTGATGACACTTTGATCATGACCGACCTGAAAAGACCATTCAGATTCCAGACCGAGAGGGAAAGAACCTTGAAGATTATCAAGTCCATTCCTTACATTTACTAGATGAGATCATTGAGACCCTGAAGAGGGGATATGATTTGTACAAGGTCATACAATGAGCCTAGTAGCAGAGAAAATGCTAAACTCAGCTTTCCTAATAACAGCAAAAATTTTTAAGGGCATATATATTTTTAAAAAGAGAAACTTGAGATACATATCAACCAATTGCAATATATAGATCTAATTCAGATCTTGATCCAAACAAACTGTAAAAAAAATATTTTTGAGACAATCAGGGAAATGTAAACACTCACTAGATGTAATTTGATGAAATGACAGAATTATTGTTAATTTTTACAGGTATGATGATGGTATTTTAATAATGTTTTCAAAAAAGAGTCCTTATCTTTTAGAAATGCATGTAGAAATATTTACAAAATGAATGGGGGAGGACTTATAATTAACTTAATCAAACATATAATGGAAACTATGCTGCTTTATAAATGGACAGAAATGTACACATAAGGCTGGCAATTACAGAAAGTTGGTAGGAAAGGGAGAAGTAAACACATGATAGGCAATTCTCCACCCTGCTAATTTCTAAAAGAAGCTGCTGCTTATAAAAGTGTAATTACTACCATACAACTCAGCAATCACACTCCTGGGCATTTATCCCAGAGAAATGAAAATTTATGTTCACATAAAAACTTGTCCACAAATGTTTATAGCTTTATTCTTAATAGCCAAACTCTGGAAACAACCAGATGTTCTGCAATGGGTGACTGGTTAAGCAAACTGTGGTTGTTAGGGACTGAATTATGTCCCCTGACAATTCATGTTGAAGCCCTACCCTGCAATGAGGCTGTATTTGGAGATAGGGCCTATAAGGAGGCAATAAAGGTTAAATGGGTCATAAGAGTGAGGCCTTAAGCTGATAGAACTGGTGCCCTTATAAGAAGAGAGAAACCACAGGTGTCTCTCTGTCCATGTGTGTATAAAAGACCATGTGAGGACACAGCAAAAAGGCAGCCATCTACAAGTCAGGAACAGAGCTGACCAGAAACCAATTCTCACAGCACCTAGATCTTGGACTTCCAGCCTCCATAACTGTGAGAAAATACATTCCTGTTGTTTGAGCCACTGGTCTGTAGTATTTGTTATGGCAGCCTGAGCTAATACAGTGGAACCTCTATACCATGGAATACTACTCAGCAGTTAAAAGGAGCTCATTATTGACACTCAAAATATGGATGAATCACCAGAGAGTCACACTGAGCAAAAAAAAAACCCAACCCCAAAAAGCTATATACACCATGATACCATTTATATAATATTCTTGAAGTGAAATATTATAGACATGGAGAAGAGTGGTTGTCAGGAGCCAGGAAGAGGGTGGGGCAGGTAGAAGATGAGTGTGGCTATAAAGGGTGACAAGTGGTCCTTGTGGTGATGGAACTGTTCTGTAATCCGACTACCAAAACATCCCGGTTGTGCTGCTGCACTACATTTACACAAAATGTTACTACTGGGAGAAGCTGGGAAGAGAGTGCATGAGACCTCTTATTTCTTACCACTGCATGTGAATCTACAATTATCTCAAAATAAAAGTTACTTTTTTTTTAGGTACAATCAACACTATGGCCCAGGGCACCATCAGCACAGTGCAGCACAGGCTCTTCCTCGCCTTCTCTCAGCTCCCCACTCCACAACTGGACTCCCTAAATGCTTGAGCCTCAGCTGCCACAGCCGGTTAGGGCTGTCCCTCAGCCCAGGAGTGGGGCAGAAAAATGAGCAAGGGAGAGAGAAAAGGGCCACCACCCTTCCACCTGCGACCATCCCTCTCAGCTCACCACCCTCCACCTCGCACACACTGTCAGCCCTACATCCATCGCCCTCTCCCAGTCCAGGAGACAAGCTCGCTTTTAAACCAATAAACATTACAATCTCACTAGTGCAGTCACGGCAAAGAAAGTGGGCCTTGGAATCCAGCCCATTCTAGACTCTGATCCCAGCTCTACCTTTTACTGCCTTACTCCCTGTGCCACCTTAGACGAGCACTTCAGCCTCTCTGGACCTCAGTTTCTTCATACATAAAAATTAAACTCACATCACCACACAGCTGTGAGGATTAAATGAGGTACTGATTAAATCAAGAGAATCTAGCACCATGCCTAGCATATAATAAAGAGCTGGAATCTTCATTTTTTTCCTCCCTGCCGCTAAAGGCTTTTTCCCACATGACTTTGGCCATATGCCCCATCCTTTTCATCAAAGTGCAGCAGAGCAGAACACTCTGAATTACTCCTTACAGTTTATTTCTTCTAAAGCTCTGTTTCTCCTTATTACACACCTACTTAGAGAATAAAAGCAAAATGATCACCTGTAGCAGCTAACGCATGCCTCAGTCCAGCAGCAACACTAACAACCTTCTCTCTCAGGAGCTGTCAAAACAGAGAAAAGGGTTGAGACCTCAGAACATCCCTCTACAAACTGTTAGGTAATTGATGCCCAAATGCATCATGGCCCCCAACCAACATTTCCATCCATAAATACCTCCGTATGCATCCCTAAAAGACAAAAATCCTTTTAAAAGACCATATCACACTGCCTCTCAGGATGGGAAAGACCTTCAAGTTCACCCAGTCCAGGGGTTAGCAAACGTTTTCTATAAAGGGCCAGGTAGTAAATATTCTAGACTTTGCAGGCCATATGGTTTCTGTCACACTTCTCTATTCTGCCATTATAACATAAAAGCCACCACACACAATACATAAATGAATGGGTGTGGCTGTGTTCCAATAAAACTTTACTTACCAAGGGTTCTCGTTTGCAGACCTTTGATCTAGTCCAATCTCCATCCAATACTAGAAACCACTCCACAATACCCCACCAAGTGGCCACCCAACCCCTGCCAAACACCTACTTCAGTGGCACAGGCTCAGCACCTCCCCAGAAGCCTGTTCCATCTTTGCACTGTTCCATTTATCTCCTTAGGTGAAGCCAAAATCTATCTGCCTATAACTTCTGACGATGCTTTCCAAATGTGTGCAGACAGTTATCACGTTCTAAGATGCCTTGTGGTGGTTTTAAAAATAGGTCCTCGAGCCCGGATGGGCGTGGCTCAGCGGTTGAGCATCAACCTAGGATCCAGGAGATCATGGTTCAATTCCAGTCAGGGCACATGCCCGGGTTGCAGACTCCATCCCCAGTGTGGGGCGTGCAGGAGGCAGCCGATCAATGACTCTTTCATCATTGATGTTTCTATCTCTCTCCCCCCCCTTTCCTTCCTCTCTCTGAAATCAATAAAGATATATTTTTTTTAAAAACATAGGTCTTCGAATTCTTGGAGACCCCCTCCCTTCAAAATGAGCAGCTTAATTCCCCTCCTGTTGAGTGTGGCTAGACCTAGTGACTTGTTTCCAGGGAAGAGACTAAGGAAGTGATGAGTGCTCAGACATGAGGTGATAAAAGGCGCTGAGGCTTCCTGCTTGGCTTCTCTCTCGAAGCACTAGGGGAAAGCCAGAGGCCGTGTCTAAACAGTCCTTTAGGGAGGCGCTGTGGAAGGAACTGAAGCCTCCTGCCAGGTGAGAGCGCGTGGAAGTGGACCCGCCAGCCCAGGCACGCCTTCAGCAGCCTGCTGCCCCAGCTGAGATCTCAACTGTAACCTCATGAGACCAGCTAACCTGTTCCCAGATTCCAGACCCTCAGAAACTATGTTTGTTGTTTTAAGCTGCTAATTTTTAAGCTAATTTATTACACAGCAACAGATAACTAATACATATCTCTTCTTTAGGTCAAACGTCCCCAGTTCCATAAGCCATCAATCACCCTGCTCTTGGTTTCGCTCCTCTATAAACTCTGATTACTCAATCTCTGTTTTTGAAAGGGACTGTATATACATCTATCACGGCCCCTATGGAACTTTACTACATTTATTTACAGATCCACAGTGTCTTTCTAAACTTCAGGACCCTCAGGGAAGAGCCTGAATCTCAGCTCTTCGCCCAGGGTCTAAGCACCAAACCCACGACAGAACACGAGACCCTAGATGTGGTCTGGCCAGCACTAAGAACAGCTCTGGCCTCCCTTCTACAGACTATATTTCTGGTAATGCAGCCTAGCTCTGGGGAAGATCAAATCTTACTGCTAATATAATTTGGACATATTGTCCTATAAAAATTTTTCTATCCAAAATTAATTAATGGGCTTTACATGTGGATTCAATCTCGTCAACATCTTCAACTCACCTCTATTCCTTCCTCTCCATCCCCACTGCCATTGCTTTAGTTTGGGCCAGGATTATCTCTTATCTGAATTATTAGCAAGAGTTCCCTGAGTAATCTTCCTTCAGTCCATCCTGCACTCTACCCCTCTTGCCCCTCCCTACCACAGTTCTTACCACGTGTCATACACGACCTCCCAGATTGCCCCCCTCCCCACTGGCACTTCCACCACTTCCTTATGCTCCAACCAAACTAAACTGCTTGCAGTATCCCCAACCCTACTGCTTTATGCTCCTACAGCTTTGCTCACAGAGTTCCTTCTGTCTGAAATGTTCTTTTGTACCTACTCTGTGCATCGTATCTCAAGCCAGGTAAACTTTTGCTCAACTTTTAAGAGTCAGCATAAACCTGTTTTCACTGTACTTTCCCCGGACGAATTCAATACTCCCCCCTTTGAGGCTATACATGCACCTACCCGAATTCTAGCATGGTAATGCATTGAGGTGTTTCTATACCTAACATGTCCTGCTAAACTATAAGATCCTCAAATGCTAGGATTGGGTCCTACTCACCTTTGTCCCCCTGCCTAAACACAGCACCTATACAGCAGCTATCATTAGCTGCTATTAAATAAATGAATGAATTTCTATAATATTTCACTTTGGCACATTCTCCTCATTGTTCCATAGGATCCAGCCTGTCAAAACGTTTTTACCTCCTGATTCTGTCATCCAACATATTTTAACTACTGTTCGCCTCTGTCTTCTTTAATTATGTGACTTAAGCTAAATGAATTATAATTTATATGTAGGTTCTTTAAAAGCCATCTATGTATAATTGGAAGCTGTAACACTTCCTACAACAGGAACTAAAGAGTCTAGACTTCCATGTATAACATGTGGTAAAGACTAAATGTTTGTGTTCTCCTGAAATTCGTATATTAAGATCTATTATCCAATGTGATTATATTTGGAGGTGGGGTCTTTGGGGGGCTTATTAGGTCATGAGGGCAGAGCCCTCATGCATGGGGTTAGTGCTGTTATAAAAAAAGATATCCTAGAGAGTTCCTTCACCTCTTCTGCCATGAAAGGACACAGCAGGAAGATGGCTGTCTATGAACTAGGAAGAGGGCCCTCACAAGACACCCAATCTGCTGGTGCCTTGATCTTGCAGTTCCCAGCCTTCAGAACTGTGAGAAATAAATGCTTGTTGTTTAAGCCACCTAGTCTGGCATTTTGTTATAGCAGCCCAAACAGACTAAAACACCATGGAAACCAGGACCCCAAATACCCCACAGACAGCAATTGTTAATTCAGCAAAATGATAGGAGCAAAATCAAGGTCTCTCCAATGAAAACAGATCCACTCTGAGTCAGAGTTTCAGGAATTTAGATAGGAGTGGAGCAGCTTAGGTGGCAAAACTCATTTTGGATCCCAGCATATTTCTTTTAAAATATTCCAGAGTCCTATTATGATCACTTACAATATCAACTTCACCAAAAGTTGTACATCTTAAGTATGACGCAGTGAAAAGAGTTCTGAACTAGAGCCAGGAGTCTTGTTCTATGCTCATGCTGTCCAATATGGTAGCCACTAGCTATGTGTGATACTGAACAACTGAAATGTGTCTAGACTGAACTAAGACATACTGTAAGTAAAAAACGTACACCAGGGTTCAACTTAGTATAAAATAAAAAATATGAACTATCTCATGAGTAAATTATATATTAATGGCATATAAAATAAAATAATAATAGTTTGGATACACTGGCTTAATTTAAAAGTTATCAAAATTAATTTCTCCTACATGTCACAACATGGATGAAACTTGAAAACACACATCAGGTGAAGTGAAAGAAACCAGATATAAAAGGACATACATTGTATATTTCCATTTATATGAAACACCCAGAATAGGCAAATCCAGAGAGACTGATTAGCAGTTGCCAAGAGCTAAAGGGAGGGAAGGATAAGAGGTGACTGCTATTGGGTACACAGTTTCTTTCCTGGTAATGAAAATGTTCCAAAATTAGTTCATGGTGAAGGATGCAAACCTCTGAGAATATACTAAAAACCACTAAATTATACATTTTTAAAGGATAAATTTTATGGTATGTAAATTACATCTCAATAGTGTTGTTATTTTAAAAATTAATCTCACCCATTTCTCTTTACTTTTTTAAATGGTGCTATTAGAAATCTTTAATTTACATATATGGCTCACATTATATTTCTATTAGACAACACTTGCTTATACCATTTGCCTAGCTTAGTGTCTTTAGGTAAGTCACTTCTATCTGGACCTATTTCTAACATAGTTCCCATTATTACTAATTTTAGAATTATGAAAAGTCATTAATGTCTTGCCTGGCTGGCGTGACTCAGCAATTGANTTACTAATTTTAGAATTATGAAAAGTCATTAATGTCTTGCCTGGCTGGCGTGACTCAGCAGTTGAGCATTGACCTAGGATCCAGGAGGTTGTGGTTCGATTCCTGGTCAGGGCACATGCCCAGGCTGCGGGCTGATCCCCAGTCAGGGGCGTGCAGGAGGCAGCCAATCGGTGACTCTCTCGTCATTGTNGTCAGGGCACATGCCCAGGCTGCGGGCTGATCCCCAGTCAGGGGCATGCAGGAGGCAGCCAATCGGTGACTCTCTCATCATTGATGCCTTTCTCTCTCCCTTCCTCTCTCTGAAATCAATAAAGACATATTTTTTTAAAAAAGGAAAATGTCTTTATAAGNCTCTCCCTTCCTCTCTCTGAAATCAATAAAGACATATTTTTTTTAAAAAGGCAAATGTCTTTATAAAATATATTACCTTTATTGTTCTATTTCACAAAAATTTATAATGTGTATGAGGACTAACAGAGGTTTTTTTCACTCACAACCTTCATGCCCCCAACCTAATTTTTCCTAGAAAAACCTAAGCTTTTTAATTTAAATTCTAACTACCCCATGGGTTTTCAGGGACCCAGCCAGTCTGGGGAGGAATAACTGTAACACCCTGGAAACTGTTTAACAAGACACGGGCTAGAAGAATATTAGGTGCTGTCCTTACCTCAATGGTCTGGGGAACTGCACATCTTTGAGGCCTCTGAGGAACTCCTAATTGGCCAAAGGAGTTGGATCCACATGATAGAACTTGACCATTTTCTGCAAAATACAAATATTTAAATCACAATGTAAGTGGTAGGATACCAGTGACCAATGGGTAAATGCTAAAGGAGCAAAGGGAATGAGGAGGGAGTGAGGGCCCTGGGCTTCAGGACATTCAAACCACACCCCCTGCCTTTATTGTCGCTCTAGGAATAAAAAGCCTGTTTTGCACAGAATATCCATTACACTGCCTAATTCTGACAGGAAACTGTGTGGAACACTTAGCCCAGTGCCTAGAGTTGGGAAAGCAGGGTACTTGTTCCCCACTTCTCATGTTTCCAGGAAACACAACTTCCATTACTTTAACACTTCGGGTCTTTCTCCCTGCCCTTCCCATACTCACCGCCTTCAGAGGAGGAGGGGTAACCTAACCAACTGGTGAGTTTGGGAGAAGGAAGGAACAGGACACGTGGCTTGGCACCTTCCTCTCAGACACTCTGGGCTGACACTTAGTAAGGGTTTCCCCTATGGGAAAAGCCTAGAGTTTGGGAGATAAGTTTGGATCAAAGGAGTGTTAGCACAACCACTTGGCCTGACAGTTAACCCTGTCCTCCAACTTGGCCTTTATCAGTAAAAAGCCAATAGTTTGATCTCCACCTGTCTGACTGCTCTCCACCTTTCTCACAGTTGATTCCCAATATGAAAAGGAAAAAATATTATTTATGACTCCCTACAACCCCATCACAGGCCCATAATGAGCACTTCATAATGATAGCTATTATTTAGATTCTAATAATTACTATCAAACTCGACACACATTTCTGAACCCCTCCACAGAGGAGAGATGGTGACACCCTAGCAGGGTTTTAAAGACGGGACAAGAGTTCAGCAGAGACAAGAGAGGGGCTGTCCCAGGCAAAGGACAACATGTACTATTTAGTCTGACCAGAAAGGAGAGGGTGAGGAGCGAGGAGAGTAAGAGCCAAGGCAGCACCAGGAACAGCTGGGGAACAGCTGAAGAGCCTGCGTGTGAGCTATGTGTGTGAGAATCCACAGGGGTGTGAGGCGGGGCTGCAGGTGGGCGGGGTTACCTGCTCAGAAGATGCCCTTGCCGCAGGACTGACAAAGAGGGACCTTGATCAGAAATTACAGATGGTCCTTTGAATCCAGAATGGCCAACTAGATGGGGCAAAACTACTTCCAGGGAGAAGTCAGCTGACAAAGTATCTATTGTCAACTGATTCCCAAGGGCATTTCGGTGGTCCCTCGGTATTTGCAGGGGATCGGTTCCAGGAACCCCTGCAGATACCAAAACCTGAGGAGGCTTAAATCCCTTATAAAAAATAGCTTGGAACAATGCATATAGTGGCCCTCTGCATCTGCGAATTCCCAACCATGGACTGAAAATGCTATATGTACTACTCATTTTGATCAGCAGTTGGTTGAATCCACAGATGTGAAGCCTGCGGATACAGAGGGCTGACTGTATTCTGTTACCCTTTGCCCATATCCCTCTACAGCCTATTCTGCTATCTGGCTTCACAAAGATGGAACAGTTCTGTCCAACCATATTCACATTTCTTTTAAATCCCTCATTGGGGAAAAGCTACCATCACTGTTGTGGCAACCTCTGATTTCCTCCTACTCCCACAACGTTCCCCTGTGAGTATCTTGTAGCCAACGCTCCTGGCCAGCTAACCCAGCTACACGGCTATCATGAACATCTGGGACAGGGAGTGACCACCAAAGGTGATCCAGCTCATTCCCACCTATGGTAAAAGTTTTCCAGCCCAAAGTTTTACTGTTAAAACTCTCCTTGCAAAAGACACCTCGCAACTTTTCTTGAACCAGAAAGAACATTTGTGTGTGTTTTCAAACACAAAGAAGCATTCGTTTAATCTGCATCACCACCACCATGCTCTTCTCACTCAAAGCCTTTGTGGTGATATTTACCTAGGAGTGCACTCACCTGTGAGAATGATGGTAAAGTCCCAGCCACAGGCCACCTGTTGGATGGGAGAGCCAAGGAGGGATTTGCAGGGTGTAAAATGCAGAACATCCTCCGTGTGACCAAGCCCCAACTGCCCATCTTTGTTCAGGCCACAAACAAAAAGGCTTCCTCCATCTGCAAAATAAAGGCTTTAGTGATAGTGTGCACAAGGGAAATCACAACTGCCAAAGCGAGCAAAAGGGTTTCACTATTTATTTGGAGTTACAAACCCAATAACCTTTTCCCACCCATGTTAATAAGCCATGTATATTAATATGCACTGAAGCAGATGGCACTGGGCCAAGGGGCTCAAATCTAATATCTAAGTGGAAACTCCAAGTGCTACAGTAGTGGCCAATCATCAAATTGAGCATCTACCGTAACAATAAAGCCAAATCTATTCTGCAATTGTAATGTGCCAAGTATTGTTCTAAGAGGTTTCTGCGTGGGGCCAACTTATCCTTTAAGCACAGTGCCTAAGGCACACAATACTTTTAGAGGCCCACAAAAATGTTTCGATTTTAAATTCTTTTAAAATCAGAAAAATAAATGTAATAATAATGAATACATAATATTAAATCTAGCCTGGATTATATTAACCTTTATATCGATGCAGTTGCAAAATATAATTTTTAATATTTCTTTATGGAAAAAGGAGTCCACAAAGGAAAAAGTTCCAAGGACCCATAAAAGTCATAATGCAGCCGTAAACTCATTGATTCTTCTTATCAACCATTATTATCCCCATGTAACAGAAAAGAAACTGACACAGAGGAATTAAGTAAGTTGTTCAAGGCCACACAGCTACCAGGACTAGAACCCGGGCAGTTTGATTCCAGAGTCCATGTTCTTAAGCAGGATGCAATATGCCCTCTTTCACAATATTGTAGCCCTTGTTAAGTCCTATCCTACATACTGCAAGGGAAATTAAGGAAAACACAATGTTCTTGCTGTAAAGGAATATTCAAGCTAATTTCAGACTTCTAACTCATATGTGAAAGTTAAATAGCAATATATGGTATAAAATGTGATATATTTTGCAGCTCTCCCACTAACATGTCTCGTAACCTTAAGCAATCAGTTTTCCTTTTTGAGCCCCCTTCATACAAGTGAGGCGGTGGGAGCCTTGGAAGAGCCAAATGATCTCTGAAGTTCTTTCAGCTCTGACAACCTAGGATCCTCTGATGATAACGGCTCTTTTACAAAAGTGTTTTCCTCTGCAAAATACAAAAGGCTAAAAGATGACAATATGACATCCTAGGGGGAAATGTCTAAATAAGAAAAAGAGGGGCTATCTACTCTTGAAGAAAAGTTACCTGTGACAACAGCAGAGTGGCCTCCTCCTCCTGTGATCCTCCTGACACACCCAGGTTTACAGAAGTCATTCAGTTTTTGGGGCAAAAATACATCTTCCTTATGGCCAAGGCCAAGTTGCCCGTAGCTATTTGCACCCTAAGGATAAAATAAACCAAGGATGAAAAAAGTATGGGAACCCCAACTATTAACGTTTATTTGCTTGGCCTTATCGTTCTCACCCCAACAATATCTCAAAGCCTATATACAAATGAGATTTCATAAGCTCATTCTTTTGTGTGTGTGTGTTTTTTAAATATATCTTTATTGATTTCAGAGAGAGGAAAGGAGAGGAAGAGAGGGAGATAGAAACATCAATGATGAGAGAGTCATTGATCGATCCCGCAACCCGGGCATGAGCCCTGACGGGGAATCGAACCCCTATCGCCTGGATCCTAGGTCAATGCTCAAACCCCTNACCCCTATCGCCTGGATCCTAGGTCGATGCTCAAACCCCTATCGCCTGGATCCTAGGTCGATGCTCAACTGCTGAGCCACGCCCAGCCAGGCAGCTCATTCTTAAGAGGCTATTATATGCAACCCCCACTTAGAGTGTAGCCCCATACCCAAACCACTATGCTTTCCAGGTTAGGAGCCCTTAGCACCCACAGCTTATCCAATGATACTCCTCACCTTCCCCTTCCAGTGCCTCAGCCCCTATATGTTGCTTTGGGGGACAACAAGGGGAGTTCCTTCTGATAAAATCTAACTACATGGGATGGCTAAGAAAAGAAATACTGAGGGGAAATAATGAGGGGAAACAAAGTGGATGGGAATACACTAGGACTAGTTCTTGTCCCTTCACCCCACACCCCACTGGGAAGACTAGCAATGACTTTCTGCAAAGTCAGCTAAGGATTTTGTACCCTCAAGCAGGGCGCATCATTGTTATTTCATCTGTAAGTGAAAGAGGTTGGCAGTGATCTCTAAGGGCCTTTCCAAGTACTGTGTTTCGTGACTCTAAGATTCACATGGTAAGATCCCTGTAAGGAAATAGATTTCCTTTTGGTGGATAATATGTCTATCATTATTATACAATAAAGGTCCAAAATCCCTACTCCGAAACCTTTGCAACCAGATATGTTTCAGAATCAGAATTTTATAGGTTTTAGAAAATACAGTATATAAATCATATATACTTCTGCAAGGTCTGGGAGCAGCACCCCATAAGCAAAACAGTATTATTCCGGCAGTAAACGGTACACATACTCACAGGAAGTGGGCAAAGACTATAAACAGCCTATGTCAGGTAGTCTGGGGCGTTCAGAGCTTTTTGTTTTCAAAGTTGAAGATAAGGGATTGCAGACCTGCTGGGAGAATCTAATTAAGATTTCAGAAATCCTTATTTCTCCAAGTATTTGCTTCTGGCTGGTTCTTCCTAGAGATGAGTTATAAAACCTTTAAACTGTGTTTGTTTTTAAAACACCTGAATGAGGAAAAGTGACTTAATACAACTACAAAAAATACATACATACAAACTCCTGCCCCTTATGGTCTCTTCCACAGTCATCTGGACTACAAGGACTCCACACTGGAAGAGCAAGCCAGGGCAGGGTCACAAGTCCCAGAGGCCCTCAAGGACAGTATTAGCTACCAATCTGAGTGCCTCTCCCTGTGCTAGGCAATCACCTTTAATTCTCACAACAAGAAATGGGCATTGTCACTCTCACTGTACAGATGAAGAAACTAAGGCTCAGAGAGGTTAAGCAATTTTCCATAGTCACATAGCTGGGTAGGTAACATGTCAGATGCCTCCTCTTTTCATTATACCACACTTTGTCTCTAAGAATAAAGAAATACATACATACACACATACACACACACACACACACACACATACACATCCCAGAGCTTACCTGGCAACAGGCTGACTGGCCCCATCTAAAATAGTACCCCCATCACTTGTTTGTGCTTTATTTTTCTTCACAACACCCCCTGACATGGCATTATATATGTTTACTTGTTTACTGTCTACCTCCTCAAAAGTAAACTCCATGAATGCAGGAATTTTATTTTGCTCACTGCTATTTCCCCTACATCTGAATCTGTGCTGGCCCAGAAAAGGTGTGCATCTATTTTATAGTGAATTAATGTAAGGCCCTGTGAGTCCCTAGGAAAGATCAAATGAAAAGTTTGCACAGTGTGAAGTGGAGGGCCTATGCACAGGATTTCTCCGTCAACCCTGGGATCGTGTGACTATCCCATTGCCAAGGTTACAGGCTGCTGAACAGAAAGTCAGAAACTGGCATTATGGAATTCAAATTATGATACCAAATTTTTATAATACAGCAAGAGGCCCTAAATCCATGATAAAGCAAAACAAAAGGAAATTTTAATACAACCTATTACAACTATATTTGCCTCCCTTCCTTATAAACACTCCAGACAGCCCCACACACACACACCTCCAAGAAGGTAAATTCCCTTGTTATGGACTGAATTGTGCTCCCCTAAAATTCATTTGTTGAATCCCTAACTTCCAGTAGCTCAGAATGTGACTATACTTGGAGACAGGGCCTTTAAAAGGGTAATTAAGGTTAAAAGAGGTCATAACAATGGGGCCCTAAACCCGTAATACTGGTGTCCTTATAAGAAGAAACACAGGGATGCTCTCACATAGAGAAAAATACATCTGAGGACACAGTAAGAAGGCTGCCATCTCTAAGCAAAAGAGAGAGGCCTCCACAGAAACTAAACCTGCTCGAGCCTTGATCTCAGACTTCTGACCTCCACAGCTGTGAGAAAATAAGTTTCCATTGTTTAAGCCCCCCAGTCTGTGGTATTTTGTTATGGCAACCTTAGCAAACTAATCCACCCCTGCACACAGATAACGCAGCTGGAAGAACACACCGTCAGGTCTCCAAGCACAGCAGTGGGGTGAGGTTCAATAATCTTTGTTTCAGTACAGACAAGACCACATCTTAAAGGCTTTTTCTGTCAGATGTCTCCTCTGTCCACATAGGCCCCAATCTCTGGCCTGGGAAAAGCCAGAGACACCGCCCACCCTAGGCACACACTCAATCCCAAACTCCACCGCACGTTGAAGTACCACCTCAAAAGTACTCAGACAGCCAGACTACCTCCAGCCACACCACACTCTCCCACCTGCCAGTCGGCAGCCTTACATTCAACAAGTGCTTTCCTGGCACTGAGGATTCCTGTTTTTTAATTAGTGAACATATACTGGTTTTAACAGCAATACAGGTATCTCCCCACCACCCTCCCCCACCCCAGCGCCAGAGCTGTAAGTCTTTCACTCGTGTTTCTCCCAAAAGACGAGCACATAGCTCACACACAACAGGTACTCATTCAGTCATCAGTCAACAAATATTTACCGAGCACCTTACCGTGTGCCAGGCACCGTGAGCAACACAGGCACAGTGCCCACCGTTACGATGCTCGCATTCTAGCCAAGGAAACTGACACTAACAAATTACACGTTTCATTACCATTGAGATGCGCGTTATGAAGAACTAAGACACAACGTCTGCTTGCTCCCGTACATCTGGTCGAGTACCTGCCACACACGCCCGTGCCGAGCCCCTCCGCTCCCGGCCAGGGCACCAAAAGATGACCGCGTCTCAAGGCGCCTGTCGAGCCAAAGGGGGCGCTGACTCCCACTCCCCAATACAGGCAAGATCCAGCCACAGCAGAAGAGCAGCAACTCTGCAGGTCTCTGGCTTGAGCACCGCCAAGCACCGTAGGCCTCACATCGAAGGAGGCTCCCGCCCGGCTGCGGTGGGGCTGGGCAAAGGCCCCAAGCTCCGGGCAATGGGACGCTGCAAACCACAGGTGACCCACCGGGCTCTGAGGCGGGGAGATCCTCTCGGCAGGGACAATCACCCCGTCTTTCCCGGAGCTCTCGCGGAACCAGGTGCCCTGCCCTGGAGGCAGGTTCTTCCCCCTGAGCCACAGCCC